GCACAATACTATAGAGATTGTCAATTTAAAGCATACTGAGCAGGCAATTTGCAAGGAAACACGTACTTGGAGCCCTCAAATTTAAAAATTTGGACAGTGGACTAGGCTCCAAGCACACAAACAGATCTAATGCAGCCAAAAGAGAAACACCCCCCCCCCCACACTTAAGATCGACATTGCCCTCAATTAAGAAGAGAAAAAGATAAGGGGAACGATGTTACCGGTGTGCATGGACTGCATGAGACTGGAAGGGGACCAGTCAGGACAAAGCACAGCTAAAGGGAACAGAAGAACTCAAACACAATACGTTAGGTCCAATGGTTAGCCCAATAGTACATCATCCAAAAGAAAAAGAAAGAAAAGAAACCAACACACAAGACAGTTTGCACTCTGACAGAAACAAAAACAACACAGAACAGGCCACTAGGACAACCTCCTAGAGCCCGGTGAAGTCGATCTGGTTCATGAGGTCGTTGACCGCATCTGCCGGTGGTGGTGGGGGTGGGGAGTGGTCCCACCGGGTGGTCCAGTGGTGCTCCTCGGGTGGGTGACAAGACTGGAGCAGGTGCTCCTGGTACTCTATCAACCGACGGCCACGATCCCGCTCCCGCTCGATGAGAGCACCAGTAACTCCCATCTGGCCCTCCATGCGGTCGAGACGCTCGTCTACAACCGCCAGCTTGGACTGGTACTCGGCCTGGTGGGCCAAATACTGTTGGTAGAACTGGACCTGATGGTCCATGAGCTGCTGGTTCTGAAGTCCGAGTTGCTGGAACTGCAGCCCCATCTGCTGGAACTGCTCCATGAAGAAGTCCATCGACGGGCCAGAAGTCATCGACGGACCAGAAGGACCGGAGGAGGACTCGCCTCTCTCTGATCTCCGTCGTGGCTGAAGGTCCCCTGGTGGAGAGAGCGGGGGCTCCGGGTCATTAGCATCCATGGCCCCTCCATCATCATCATCATCCTCATCCTCCTCCCCGCCGGAGTAGTCGTCATCCTCCTCGTCCTCATCGAGATCCGCATCCTCCTCAGGGGGCAAGGAGAGCCCATCCACCCAGGAGCGGGTGCCATCAGTGGCCAGGAGGAGTGCATTGTGGAGCACGTCCCGGCTGAGGGGGGTGGAGCCGCCCCATGCAATAGAATCCGTGAGGCCCGTGAAGAAGATGTCGAAATAGCGCACCAGAAGGGTGATCAGGGGACCACAGTAGAGATGGTTGGGCTTCCCGTGGCACTGGGAGAAAGTGGTAGCCACGAAAGAACCCAAGTGCAACATATGCTCCGGGTACCCCATCGAGTACATGGCGTAGAGCACCCGCTTCGGGATCTTGTACGAGCTGGTGACGTTGGGGATGATGCAGCGGGTGATCAGGAGATTGAGGATGTGCCAGTGCGGCTTGAGGGTGCGGACGGTTGTCTGTCCGGCGTCGAAGCAATCGTACCCATAGGCGCGTCTGGCTATCCGGCGGTAGAACACGTCCTGGTTCCATTCTGTCAAGTTCGGGACCTCGACCTCGTGGCGCGAGAAAGGGTGGTACTGGATCCCCATGGCATAGGCCAATCCGTCAATGGTCAGCTCACGTGGGTGGACACCCAGCCTAAAAGTGACTGCGTGGGAGTCCCGTGCCGCCTTGGGGCGGTAGTGGAAAGTGGTGTAGAACTCCCACACCAGCTCGGTGTAGGTGGGCTTCTCGATAGTCAGCAACGTCCGCCAATCCCGGTGGCTGATGTCGGTGGAGAGCTCCTGTATGCAGTGGAGCTGCTCGAATACGGCCCACTCCAGATGGTGGTGGCGCTCCAGTCTCCCGCGGGTGACCTGGCGGAACTAGTTCGCGTAATCCGAGTGCAGGCGCAGATCCTGCACGAACGGATGGTCGAGTGACATGCTCCTGCAAAATCAACAAATCAAAGGTGGAGCCAAGAAAAACTCGTCAGGACCAACAGTATGGGTTCATCACTTCCCCCACACTTAAGGACCACCTAGGCTACCAGTTTAAGCATAACCGGTTGAATCGCAAGCAACTCAACCGTAATCAAGGCAAGAAGCAAACATAACCGACCAATTTAATAACACGGGCAGCACACACACAAGAGCCATAGCCAATCATACTCAAGACATCCCTCACCCTATCCTAATTCAATCATGCCAGGCAAACACAGTTCTCGGTCCTACAATCTACTGTTCGATTTTCCAGAAAGAGAATAGTTAAAAGAAACACACCTGGAAACTCAAGTGGAACTGTAGACGCGACGCAAAGAAATGGGTGAGGGATGCGAAAAGGAGCAAAAAATGGCCGGGAAGCTCGCCGGAAAATTGGCCGGAAAGTCACCGGAAAACCCGTCGGAGGTCGCCGGAAAGTGGCCGGCGGCGAGAGAGCGGCGGCCGACGGCGGCAGAGACGGCGGCAAAGAGGAGAGAGGATTTTGAGAGGAAGAGAGGGAAAATTTGGAAAAAATGAGAGGAGAGAGAGAAAAACGACCGGGGGTTTGCTTAAATAGCAAAAATCCCCGGTCGGGCCTCAAAAATCCCCGGTCGGGTATTTTAAGGCCACGACCGGGGGTTTTGGAAACGACGCGTTTCGTGTGCTAGGAAATCCCCTGCCTTGAGCCAAAAATACCCGGTCGAGTATTTTTGGGTCAAGGTGGGGGGTTTCTGAAACGCCGCGTTCTAAGGCTGGGAAATCCCCGGCCTTGAGCCAAAAATACCCGGTCGGGTATTTTTGGGTCAAGGTCGGGGATATGCCCTTTGGGCGCCCCGGAAGGCAGAAGGGGTCCCGGTCATGGGCCAAAAATACCCAGTCGGGTATTTTGGCCCACGACCGGGTATTTTTTCCTTCCGGCCAAAAAGTTCATTCTCCCAAATTTTCAACCTCCCCTGCACGAGAACACCAAAGCGAGGCAGAACCACGACCGAACTTTAACACAGACATGCAACTGACTCAACACGACACAAAAACACAGAAAAAGGGAAAAAGAAATGCAAACCGTGGTGGGGTTGCCTCCCCACAAGCGCTTCTTTACCGTCTTTTAGCTGGACCCCCATGGTGGATTCTCAGGGGGGTGCAGAAACAGGTGCCTTCAAGAGCAGATCCACGTCGTTCTTGAGGTACAATTTCAAGTTGTGGCCATGCACCCGACGGGTGCGACCACCAGCATTGGTCAGCTCGACCTGGCCATCCGGCAGGATGCAAGCGAGTGAGTACTCGGCTGGCCAGGGTTGTCGTGGTGCGGGAGGTGGGACCAGCTCATGGTGGTCGCCACTTTTTTCCGAGCGGGCTTAGCCACCTGCGGCTTCGGCCGCCACTCCTCCTTGATCTTTTTAGTCGGAGGTGAGGCTGGAAGGAGTGGCGGCGAAGGAGTGGGAGGGGGATCCTGCAAAATGAGAGATGCAGAAGGATACACAACAGGCTCATGTACCTGGTCAGAAGTAGCATGCATAGGTGTGACAGCAAGCACATCACAGTGATCCAATTCAAACACAGAAAAAGTAGCCTGTTCATTCCCAGCACGCAAGATCAGTTTACCACTATGCACATCAATGAGTGCCTTGGCGGTGGCGAGAAATGGTCTATCCAAAATCAAAGGCACATCCACATCCTCATTTATATCCAGAATAACAAAGTCAACAGGATATGTGAATGCACCTACTTTAACAAGCAGATCCTCGATGATACCCCTAGGATGCACAATGGAACGGTTAGCTAGCTGAATGCTCATCCTAGTAGGGCTAAGTTCACCTAAGTCTAGCTTTTTAAACAACTTATACGGCATGGCATTTATGCTAGCGCCTAGGTCCGCCAAGGACTTGCCTACATGCATGCTGCCAATAGTATGAGGGATAGTAAAACTCCTTGGGTCCTTGCGCTTTTCGGGTAGCTTGTTCTGCAGGATAGCAGAACACTCCTCGCTCAGCAACACTGTCGAAAGATCCCCAAGTTTCTTCTTGTTTGTGAGGATGTCTTTCATGAACTTAGCGTACTTGGGCATCTTCGACAGTGCCTCCACGAACGGCATGCTGATGTTGACCTGCTTCAACATTGCCATGAATTTGGCAAACTCAGTCTCCAGTCTGTCTTTGTGTAAGCGAGTGGGGAAGGGAAGCTGGGGTACATGATCCTTAACCACTGGCTGCGGCTTGGGAGTAGGGGCTTCCTTCTCCACCCTCACTTCTGCATCGTCGGCTGGAAGTGCTGAAGCAGGTAGTGGTTCCTTCTGCCTGGTCGGGGCAGGTACAGCCGATGTTGGCTTGTCACTCCTGGTAAAGATGGCATCCAGCTGCTGGTGAGGCTCGCGAGGATTAGGGATGGTGGTGGCAGGCAGTTTTCCCGGTGCCCTGGTGTTGTTCTGGCGGGCTATTCCTCCAATCTGATGCTGGAGGTCCTGCAATATGACACCTTGGTTCCTCTGACCTGCCTCCAGCGAGGTGATGTTCTGGTCGATCCTGGCAAAATTGGCCTGGCTGGTAGTCATGAATGTCGCTAAAATATTTTTCAGCTCCGTCATCTGATTATCTGGAGCTGGAGCTGCTGCTGGCTCGGCATACTGACGTTGGGGCTAGGGCTGGAAGTTTGGTACCAGTATTTGGGATGTACCGAATACCGTACCGAATTTGTCTATATTTGGTATTACCGAATGCACATATTATTTTGTGGTATTGGGATTGGGATTGAGTTTCAATTGTTATTCGGTATTAGGGATTACGGGATTGGGATCAGCATATACCGAAATACCGATCAATACTGAAATATAAGTTAGTGTGATTTTATCTTCTCAAATAGACTCTCTCATTCACTACTACGCGACCCTCAACCACCAAAAGTGTCATTCAATTATACATAAATCATTACATCACTATTTCACACTAGTATTAGTCGTCTCTCAACCTTAAATTCATCAAATTAAAGATTACCAATTACAAAAACTTGAGATGTTAGCTCTGGGCAACTTAAGACTCTTTTTTTTTGGTAGAAAATGGGGTTCTAAAAGGGCACCCCTGCGTGGCACTTAAATTAAACGATCTTGGGCAATACCCATAGTGTCATACAGAATCCAAAAAGAGAGACCCGGGTCCGAGATGCCAACAAAGTGACATCCTATACTAACACTATGCCCCTTATTGGCGAGAAAATCTGCGGTTTTGTTACCCTCCCTGAAGGTATGAGAGACTTGTACCTCCCAATTTCTATTGATGAGATCTCGAAGTTGTCTAATGATGGTGTAGTATCTCTGTTGCTGCTCCTCTCCTATAGTAATCATCCTGATGGCCGTCGAGGAATCAAGTTGAAGTTTCACCTTCTTGTGACCTTGATCCCACGCCAATTTGAGACCATGAAACGCCCCGATGAGCTCGGCTCTTGTAATAGTGCAGCTTCCCAAGTTAGCAGTAAAAGCTCCTGTGCATCTCCCTAGTTCGTCGCGGATGAGGCCACCTGCCGCTGCTTGCGAGCCCGGCTGCCGAACGGAGCCATCTGTGTTCACCCGGACCCAACCAGCTGGCGGGGGGTTCCAATTTATTTGCTCCGAGGTTTTGGTGGTGGCAGCTGAATGCACCCGCTTGTCATTCTCTTGCGCTTGTTTGATCATTTCTGCCCAGCTCCGAATCCTCTGTTCTAGTGTCAGGTCATCAATCCTCTTCTGCTGGAAGATCACTTTGTTCCGTCGTTTCCATAGATACCAGACTGCCACTCCAAATAACAGCCCCGTTTCAGCGTCCTTCAACCTTGACGCCATCCAGTCTACAAAACGAAGGCCCACAGTAAGAGAATTATCAGTGATATTCAATCGACGCCATACCTGCTGTGAATGCGAGCAATGCCGCAGCACATGTTCCGTTGTTTCTGGCCCAAGTTTGCACAATTCGCATGTGTCGGTATCCGTCAGCTTCCTGCGCCGTCTTTCGCAGTTCGTCATTAGTCTTTCGTGAGTCGCGAGCCACAAGAAGTGCTTTATGCGGCTGGGTCCGTTCCACTTCCATATCTTCTTCCAATCAGGCTGTCTCCCCCCATCCACATCGTCTTTCTCAGCTTCACTAAGCCATTCACATGCAGCTTGGTAGGCAGTCCTGATTCGAAGTGTCCGTCTGTTTCCAACCCCCACATTGTAACATCCTCGCCAAGGTCTTCCTGGGGTGGGTCGATGCCTGCAATTAAGCAAACCAGGTGGTGAGGGATATGTGGAGAGATCTTGTTAAAATTCCACTCACCTGTGCTTGTTGTAAAGTTCGCAACGAACTCATCCCAGTTGATATCGGATCCATTGCTAGTGACATGCTCCCTAAGAATGATATCATTAGAGATCCACGAGCTGTTCCAGAAGCTTGTCTCGTGGCCGCCCCTGAGTTCCCAAACCACACCCTTCATTAAAACTGGCCAGGTTGCCATGATGCCCTTCCACAGGCGAGATTGTTTGCTCTGCTTCCTCACCATCCCGCCCTCCCCATTGGATTTAAAATACTTCCCCTGCAGCACCCTTATCCAAAGCTCTTCACTGTTGTTCAGAAAAGCTCATCCAAGTTTCATTAGATACGCTAAGTTAAACGCTCTCGCCGACCGTAACCCAAGCCCCCCATCTTCCTTGGGCTTGCAAATTGAGTCCCAGGAGACTAGACTAGCTTTGTGTTTCCCTTCCTCTGCTCCCCAAACAAAAGCTCTTATTTTCCTGTCAATGATATCGCAAATGGAGACCGGGAGCACAGCAGTTTGCATGACGTAATTTGGCAATGCATTGAGCACCGAGGTAGCTAATGTCACTCGACCTGCCAGAGATAGACTCCTAGCTTTCCATCCAGATAGTCGCTTTTCGATCTTTTCGATGATGAATCTATAAGTGTCCTTAGTCACCCGCCCATGAATTACCGGCACTCCAAGGTATTTTCCAAGGCTTGAAGTGGATTTGATTCCCAGCAGGTTGCTGATATTTCTCTTGACTCTTTCCATGGTATTCTTAGAGAAAAAGATGACGGATTTCTCTTTGCTGACTTGTTCTCCTGACGCTTTACAGAATTGCTCCAAGAACTTTAGAATAGCCTCTCCCTGACTCGGCTTTGCCTCTGCAAATAGGACCAGATCATCTGCAAAGAAGAGGTGAGTTAGAGGGGGACCATTCTTGGAGAGGAAAATCGGATTCCAAGACTTATCAGCAATAGAATCCTTAATGCAGTGATTCAGTCTTTCAACACACAAAGTGAATAGGTAAGGTGATAAGGGACATCCCTGACGGACACCGCGGGAAGGTTGAAACTGCTTGGTGCATCCTCCGTTCCACAGCACTTGGAAGCTGGTGGTTGTGACGCATGCCATGATCATATTAATGAAATCGGATGGGAGACCAGCAGCCACCAGAGTGGCTTCCAGGAACCGCCAGTTGATCCGGTCATAAGCTTTCGCCATGTCGATTTTCAGAACCATTAATCCCTTCTTCCCTGATTTAAGGGACATGGAGTGAATCACCTCTTGCAAGATGATTATGTTGTCTGTGATGTGTCGCTTTGGGACGAAGCTTGATTGATTGGGGTCTACCAGCTGAGGCATCAGCTCCTTGAGGCGATTGGCCAAGCATTTCGCTATGATTTTGTAACTTACATTGCAAAGGCCAATTGGTCTAAATTGTGACATCATCGTAGGAGCTTCAATATTGGGCAGCAGCACAAGGAGGGTCTCATTACAGAGTTTGATGCGACTTGGATCCCTGAAACATTCAACAATATGATTATGCAGATCAGCTCCCACTTTATTCCAGCACTTCTGGTAAAAGACAGCTTGGAAACCATCCTTTCCCGGGGCTTTAAGTCCACCCATTTCCTTGATAACAGCAAGAGTCTCAGCTATGGAGGGAATTGAGGTAAGTTTGCTAGTTCTGCCCTCCTCTAACTCCCTGAACCCAACATATATTATGATCTGATCGGTCTCCTCTTCCGTATACAGGTTGCGGTAATAATCTCTCGCCATTGAGCTGAGTGCTGCCGGTTCTTCTATCCAAGCACCATCATCATTCTGAAGCTTGGTGATTCTGCTCTTCCTCCTGCAGGTCAGTGTTGAAGTGTGAAAGAAGTGAGTGTTGCGGTCTCCATTAATGATGTGATTGTGACGCGATTTCTGCACCCACAACAGCTCTTCCTGCCATAACGTCTGCTCTAGTTCTTCCCTCACCCGAGTCTCCTCTTGAAGAGATTGATCATTTGATGTCTGGTCATTTTTCACTTCAAGATTTCGAAGCTGTTTGGTGAGAGATGCTTTCCTTCTGAAGATATTGCCAAAGATTTCTCTATTCCATATCCGAAGTTGATCTTGGAGATCCTGCAAAGAAAGTAAACAATCCCTTCCCCGTTTCCAGGAGGCATCAAGCATACGGGGGAAATCATCGTGAGCCAGCCAAGGGGCAAGGAATCTGAAGGGTCTTACTTGTCTAGGCGGGATGTGATTTGTGTAGTTGCGGATAAGAATTGGCCGATGATCAGATCGAAGTCTTGGCAGGTGCATGGTGGTAGTCTCAGGATACTGCCTGATCCACTCTTGATTACAGATAGCTCTATCAATCCGCTGGGATAGCCGGCCGTTCGTCCAAGTGAAATTTGGCCCTACAAACCTAGTATCAATGAAACCACAGTCACGAATGCAGTTACTAAAATCAACAGCCCTTTGAGGATTGAATTTGGCTCCCCCCTCCGTTCAGTGGGACAGGTGACTGAGTTAAAGTCGCCTGCCAGTAACCAAGGCTCTTTCGTGATCGAGTTGAGCCTCGTAAGTTCCTGCCACAGAGGGCGGCGATCATAATCGTTAGGCTTGGCGTAAACGGCAGTCAGAATTACACCGTGCCCATTGCTACCTGCACAACGAAAGTGGAGGAATTGAGGGTTTTGATCCAGAATTGTAATAGAAAAATCAGCATTGTTCCAAAGGACCCAAATGCCGCAAGAAAATCCGACAGCATCGACTAACTCATGACGATCAAAGCCCAGAGTACCAATCACATCTTCAGCGTCTTTGCCGCTGATGCGGGGCTCGACAATAAAGACGATGTTTGGTCTATGGGTGCGCATGTACTCTTTAAACGTAGAATGAAATTTTGGGTGTTTAGCCCCCCCGGCAACTCCACATGAATAGACTGATCATTAAGACAGAAAGAATCGGATGGTGATCTCGAAACTTCCCTGACAACGGGGCGTGAGATCGGCAGCCTCTTAGTCGCGAGCATCAACCTCCATTGCTCCTGTTTTTTCATTATTCTGGCCCTGGTTAGCCTATTTTTCGATGCACTACCTCTGTTCCAGCGACCGCTTTGCTGTCGTGTTCCTCGGCTGCAGAATACCATCGGCCCGGTCTCCAAGTCGAAACGTCGCCGGGGCTGTGTTGGATTCCAGCTTCATTGGTTCTTGTTGGTTGGCAACTTCATCTGTGGGTTTTCTGGCAGAAGAGCATTGGGCCTGAGTGCTGTTGGTATCATGCGAGTCTTGCTTCTTAGATAGAGGGTTACACTCAGACGGTTTAGGCCCGTGAGCCTGCGTAGAAACTTGAGTTTTGGCGGGCAGGCTTTGAGTTCGGCCCAACTCCTTAGAAGATTGTAACTTTCGGGCTTGATCTTTTGTACCCAAAATTTTCTTCTTTCCGTTAGCCTTCTCTCCTTGCTCTACTCTCAACGTCTTTTTCCCCACATTACCTTCCTTTTTATTTTCCTTTCCTTCCTTCCCTTCGTTGACACTCTGCTTCCCTTTCCCCAGATTTTTTTCGCCAGTTGTCCTTCCCTTCGAGCCATTGTTTCCATCTTTTGCCTTTGGGGATTCTTTCCTTATTTATGGATTCTCACCTGATTGTGCGTTTTCCTGCCTGTTGTCCTCCGTGGTTAGCGCCGCGAATCTTGACCCCCCAGGTAAGCTGTTGGTTTCAGTCTCCGGCGAGGTTGGTTTCGTTGCCGGCGAGGATTCTTGTCGCCCGACTTCTTGATTTTTCGATTGCTGTTTTGGACGCCGATTTCTAGTTGCCAGCATCCACGGCCCGTAGTCTTCCGTAACCTCCGGTCGAATCTCCGAGGTTCCTTTGAAATTAAACATGGGATTGGATTTGGATGTGAATTCCGGTGAGGGGTTTTCTTCGCTGATTGCCAGGGCGCATGTCTCCTTCATATGTCCATACCTGTCACATTCGAAGCAAACCAGGTGGAGGCCCTCGTACTCTATGCGTCAGACCCTTTGCTTCAACCTATATTTGGACACCAGCTTCTTGTTCAAGTCGATCTCTACACAAATCCTTGCATAATTTGCCCGGACACAGTGCAGGGTGTTGTAGTCTATCTTTACCACTTTACCAATTCGGCTGCCAATGTCATTTAGGATTTCAGTGTCGAAATACCCTACCGGGAGACGAGGAAGCCTTACTCAGACTTTTGCGTGCTCGATAACGTCGTAGTATGGATCAAAATCCAAACGCCATTCTGTTGAGAGGATGTAGTGATCGCCTATAAGCCAGGGCCCCCCGAAACAGAGCTTTATCATAATCTTCCTGGGTGATAAAGCGTGTTGTGAAGAACCCATTCCCCATATCAGCTACTCCAACCGCTCCGCGCTTTCCCCAGAGGTATTGAATCTTTTT